ACCAGTTCAATGACCTTGTTATCAGTGACAGCTCATCACTGGAGGATCTGGTGGTAAATTAGTTTCTCATCGTATTTCTAAAGCTTGACATTTCTCTTTGTCCAAGGCTGATTTTTGTTGCTGATAATGGCAAGAGGAAATCTTTTACACGTAGGCCAGAGACTCTTAAACCATGCCTGGGTATGATGGAGGGGGAAATGTGGAACGGTTGGGTGAGGGATGTTTCCTCAAGTGACGTGACCTATTCAGTGGTTTCCTTCATAACCACACGGTGCCGTTCCTAGCCCATGGCATAAATTCAAGTGGCTTTGGGTATGCGTAGTATGTTGTGGAAGAAAGGCGGTGAGCGAAGCACGCTGACCCTGTGAAGTGCCATTTGGTGACAGGACTGCAAAAGTTTAATTCAGCATCTGTCAACACTTCCTTGGTGACAGGACTGCAAAAGTTTAATTCATCTGTCAACACTTCTGTGTTGGGTAGGTACGAGCCACTTTCTAAGGTCTGGTTTGGATTGTAGCAGATGTCTTTGTAGAAATTCTAAGGAAGGGGAAAGCAGCTGAACTAGGATTATTTCCCTCTTCCTTGCTGTATGACTTCTGTCCAGAGCTTAAGTAAAAGGAAAGGGCAGTGTGTACATATTTTCCCTAACAAAATACGAAGTTAGTGATACAGAGTACAAAAAACCACACCGTCCTGTCACACAACTGCTGTGAAATGCAGATGCAAACCCCTACTTTTCCAAGCTTAAGCAGCTGCAGGCAGCAGTTTTAGACTCAATTAAGAACACACTAAGCCTAATCCTCCATTTCTTTCATAATAAAGAGCTCATGTTGAAGATGCTGGCTGCCCACCTCTAACTGCAGGATGTTGTAGAGCAGCAGCTTGCCAAGTGGGAGGACGGGGTAGTCACAGGCACGGAAATGTAAAAAATCGATACACTGCTCATATACGTTAAATTCCCAGAAGTGGCTTAGGTTCCTGGAACAAGTCTCCTCTTGCTTAAATAAGCAAGATCTAAAAACCTCACGGCACGTTTTAGCAGCTCAACTTCAGAAAAAGCTATTTCAGCATTAAGCAAAGTTGCTGTATTTGATGCATGCCTGTGGTTTTCTTGTTTCTTATTCCCTGAGCCCTCATCTGACCGAAACGTCCAGGTGGTGCTAAGGAAGGATGGATAATTCAGGTGCTAGCACAGAGGAGTGGGCTTTTCTGGTGATTATAGAGGCTTTTGGTATATGCAAAAACCCTATTCTATGCCTGACTGTTACTCTAAGTCCATAAACTGTTCCTAATGCTGTCCGCCTAGAATTGTATTTGGCTTGAAAATAGAAGATGAAAACGGTGATTCAAGTAGACTTCTGTTTTTCCCTTCCTCAGGTCAAGAGTAATCTGAATCCAAACGCAAAGGAGTTTGTTCCTGGGGTGAAGTACTTAAATATTTGAGTAGACTGGGCCCTCTCTCGGTGGATGTAGCACAATTTCCACACTGTGAAGCCAGTATTAGAAGATTTAATTGTAAAAGCTCTCTCTTCTTGTCACTGTGTTACACTTATGCATTGCCAAAGTTTTGTTAGTCTTGCATGCTCAATAAAAGTGCTGAGACTGTTATTAAGTAAATCTGTCAAAAGTTTAATGGAAACATAATTGGACCCTGGCTCTCTGCAAAGGAGGCGGTGAGGTAAGAAGCACCAGTCAAGTTGAGACAAAGTACCACGTTTATAAAACCTTCTGCAGACTCTGTCTTTTTAAATCGGACTTGGAATTTGCTAAGGATGGTCTGTTTTTAACTAAAGATGTGTTAACTGGTGCTAGTTTGCACCTGATAATGCCTTAACTTAAAAAAGAAAGCAAGGAGATCTGATTGTTATGCAAATTAGCTAACTTTCCTTTGAAATACCAGTATTGTTACTAATGTTAATTTTTCCCCTTAAAACCCTCATGCTCCTTTTAAGCAGCATGAGCTTTAACAGAAATTTTACAGACCTGTACAGAGTCGTAGATCTCAGCTACTGAGCTAACATCCAGGTGATGGGAAGGAAGAAATTCCCTGTACTTCGCAGTATGTTATCATGTTAGAAACGTTTCACTTCCTGATTATGTTAAAGGAGATGTGAGTTTCATCACAGTTTCTTCCAAGAACCCAGATCCGTACATAGCACTGCCTATGTAACTTTTAGCGTACGACTTTATTATAGCTGGATTTAACCGAGACAACCCTAGCATTAGTGATTTGAGTGGTGCTTTTCCCTTGCTTTGTTTAATCATCACTACACAATAGTCTACAGCACAACAACTTTTTTTTTTTTTCTTTTAATAAAGCTAGAACAGTTTTGGCTTCTTAAACTTCATATTCGGGTAGGTTAAGCTGCCATACGTGTTCAGTGTGAATAGTGTTTAAGTTGAAAATATTGTAAAAAAATTATATTTTTTCAAAAATATTTAAAAAAATAAATAATAGTAGAACTGACGTGGTGGCTGTCTCGTGAATATGCATCTGGCATGGAAACTCCTTCAGCAACGTGCAGGGGAAAGGGATGACGTTCTGGGTACGGGGCCTGTGGGGCCGGTTGTAACACGGTAGCCCCAAATATGCATCCGAGGTGGGACTGGGACTGCTCTTTCAGTTCTTTCCTCCCGCTTTACGCGCTTGCCTGGGCATATTTTCCTTCGTTCTCACCGCTGCTAATCCCGGTTCAGCTCCGCTGCTGCTGCTGGCAGCACGGGGAGGTCCTAGTTAGCAGCCGATGGCACTATATAAAGCCCGCTGCCTGGCACCTGCAGTCGGAGGCTTTGGCACGGTGGCTGTTGGAGCTGGGGTGCTCTCGGTCCCGTAAACCCGGAGCGCTGCAGGAGGGTGTGGGTGGGTTGGGTGGTGGATGTGGTGACGGCCTCCGGCAGTCCTTGGCTACGAGTCTGATCCACTCTTCCTTCATAACTTTGCCCGGCCTTGCTGTTTATCTTTTTTTTTTTTTTTAAAAAAAAGCTCTGGGAAAACCAAATGGAAACACTTCAGAAATTACGCGGTACTGCGGAACGGGAGGAGTGAGACGAAGCCTTTACACAGCTGTTAGCCTACAGCGTAACCACATCGCTGTGTCAGTCTTGCTCCAGGTGGAAGAACCCCTCGGAGGACTTCAGTCAGGCCAACTCATTTTGCTGTTGCTCTGCAAAATGTTAATTGCAATTATCCCAGGCCCCTTACTGAGCGTTAACCTTCCCCCTTCCCCACCTTCTGAGATCTGCTGGCCTTCCTGGAAACAGCAAAACTATTCTGGTGTTTCCACTGACTTGGAGATAGTTTAGGCTCGAGCACCTAAAGACAGAAGGTCAGGAAACAACACGCTACCGTGCCCCGGCTTATTTTTAGCTGGAGCGGGAATTTCAGCAGAGAACCCCTGCACGGCTGGCAGCGGTTGCTTGTCGGTGAGCTTCCTCCGGGAGTTTCAGCCCGGGGGTGATTACCTGGGGGAGATTGGCGACTGAACGCTGCTGCTGGCAGGCAGCTGGTTGTGGAACAGCCAGCCTTACCGGGGTTTGGTTGCTTTGCTTTGTTTTTTTCCCTGCCGTATCCCAGCCAACTATATAACGTGGGGAGGTTTACGGAAGAGGCGGGCTTCCCCGTGGTCTCTGCTAGGAGGGAGCTGCCGTTCTCCATCGCAGCCCCTGCCCCGCTCTGTGCGGGGGGGGGTGACTACAGCAGAGTTGATAGCGCACCGGTGTTTTGGCTGTTGCCGACCAGCGCTTGCGCAGAGCCGAGGCTTTCTCTTGCTCCGGCCCCAGCGAGTAGGCTGGGGGTGGGCGGGAAGCTGGGAGAGGGCACAGCTGACCCAAAGGGTATTGCACACCGTGTAACGTCATGCGTGACAACAGAACTGGGATGGCGCGTGGGCTGCCTGGGGCGGGGGGGGGGGGTGTCTGCTGCTGCTCAGAGCCTGGCTGGGCATCACTCTGGGGGCGGTGGCGAGTGATTGCATTTGCATCACTGGGGGGGTTTTTGGTGGGTTTTTTTCCCCCCTCTCTTCAGTTATTAAGCTGTCCCTCTCTCAACCCACGGGTCTTCTCGCTTCTGCTCTTCCTGCTTGGGCTGGGGAGCGAGTGCGTGGCCGTGCTGCCACGCCAGTGCGGACAGCCCGTGATAGGGTCATGCAATGCTGGCTTCAGCTTTGGATTTTGGTGCTAAACCCCAGCCCAGAAATGGGCTTGACTCTGTCGGCCGTTGCAATGAGGCCACCGGCTGCCTTCCGCGCCCCCCGCTCAAGAACAAGAGGCGGGAGGGG